GGTTTGAGCCCAGTTAGAGTTTCCTGGTGCCCGCTTTGAGGTAATATTTTGGGGATGCTGTTTTTGAGGTAATGGTGGAATCCTATACCAGAGGAAATGCCTAGCAGACAACTGGAGATGGACAAGTCCTTGTTTCCTTTACAGTTCATTCACAACTTTTTATCTAAAGAGTAAAATGGTAAATGACTTTTAAGGATCCTTTCTTCCTCAAAGTCAATGGTGCAGTGGAAAACATGAGCTCCAGCATTAGCCAGACCAGTTTCAAATACTAGATCTCTTGGTAATGAGCCATGTGAACTTGGGCCAGTGACTTTGCCTCTGTGCCTCAGTTTCTTCATCTGCATCATGAGGATAATAGTGCTGATTTTAAACATTGTTTTAAGGATTGAACACAAAGCATGGGAAGCACTGCACTTTGCTGGACCATAGATGTCCCACAAAACATTTGTGCTGAATTGACTCAGGCTTCTGGGCCAGGGCAGGGGATGGTGCTTGGAGAGCAGGGAGGGACTATACTTACAGCTGTGGTCAGGAGAAAAATCAGTTTATTTGTTGCCTCCCAGAGAATAGCCATGCTACTTGAGGGCCTGAACCCTGGCTTCAGTTCTAACTCTGACATTCTGTATGTCTGATGCCTTCTCTTAGATTTTATAGTTGAGGTCTCTAACTGTGTAGTGTGCCCCTTGAGGGCCTGAACCCTGGCTTCAGTTCTAACTCTGACATTCTGTATGTCTGATGCCTTCTCTTAGATTTTATAGTTGAGGTCTCTAACTGTGTAGTAGACACCCATTCCAGCCACCATAGGGCAATTTCAGGCAAAGTATATCCAGAATGGAAATCCTAGACTCCTCAGTCTATCAGAGAACTCACCTTGCCTTTCTCTTTCCACCCAGCCTCCAAGAAAGACTGCCTAAATGCCTAGATAGGAAGAAAGTTTTCCCAAGGAAAGTAATTCTAATTACACTTCCACCCATATCTAGTGCCTGACAAACCTCGTGGTGAAGAAGTAGTTCTTTAAAGGATTGTATGTTTTTCTGCACAATGTAAGCCCAGCTCTTTTTTTCTGTTCTAAATATAAATGAGATCAACATGAAGCTGTAGACTTTGATGGGCTTGAGGTTCTTTTAGTTTTGTTGAGCCAACACTCTTCCTGTCCTTTTTATCCTTTGCACTAAGCAATTTCCTGTCTCCACCCTCTCTGTTCCCACCCAAATCTAAGCTATGCACCCCTAACCCTAAATGGACTACTTTGACAAACCGCAACACCCTCTTCCTCACTCTACATTACTTTCCATGCCGCAGCCAGGTTCTCCTTGAAATGTGTACACTGGATCAAGTCACCCCGTTGCTTAAACCCCTTCAGTAGCTTCCACTGCTCTTTGGGTCCAAGTCTGCTCCTTTACCCTGCGCCACAAGGCCCTGAAAAATCTGGCTTCTGACTTCTCTCCACTCTTAGCCTACATCATTTCTCCCTCACTAAAAGGGGCAGCCACACTGGCTACTTTCTGCACTGTGACTAGACCCCTGCCTCCCCCCCGCGGGGGGTGGGGGGGCGGGCGGCTTCTGCCCTTGCTCACCGGGCTGCCTTGGAGGCTGGGTCTCATTCTTTGGATCTTAGCTCAAATGCCACCTTCTCAGAGAGGCATTCCCTGACTGGCCTGTCTAAAGGGGTCCTTCTCAGCTATTTGTTCTCTCTGTTAAATTTCCTTCTTTGTACTTAATTTGCATCTACTTGTTTATTTAGTCTTTCCTCCACTAGAATGTTAAGTTCTTGACTGTGGGGACTCGGTCGTTCTTATTCACCACTGTGTCCCCAGCACATGGCACAGTGCTTGATGACAGTAAGTCTCAGTAAGTAGTTGTTAAGTGAATTAATGATTCTTGTTCATAACAGTGAAAAATTGCAAACAACCTCATATTCACTAATAAGGGGTTCATCAAGGAAATTATGATAGAATCATGTGATTGAATATTATGTTATATGGAGGAATATTTTATGGGAAGAAAAACGTTAATCCTATTTTTATAAATAATATTTTTGTAAATATGTTAGACACAGTATTTAAGAAATACTGCAAGGCTAGGTGTGAAAATATTAACATAGTTTTTTTTCTGGGAGTGAGTGCTTTTTCTTCTTTCCTTTTAAAAAAACAATTTGTATTTAAACATTTTTCTACATTAATACAATGTTACTTTTACAGCGACAAAAAGTATTCTAAATTAAGTTATATTATAATCTGACATGTGGGGCGGAAAATAGTGGCATTTGGGTAAACAGTTCTTGAAGACTGAGAGTCTGAGTTGACTTCCTTTCTGGTTTCAGCTCTTGAATGTATGACGAATGATCCTGTGGAATCTAACCAGATTTTGGTCAACACTCTTCTGAAAAGCATTGAAGAATATGTTCATCTTGGGCCCAGCTCTGCTTCCATTATGAGCCCTCTGAGTTCTCACTTTTTCAGATTATCTAGCATAAAAGTCAAAAAAAGAAAGCGACTATTTAAGACTGTCAAACGGGAAGGAGATAATGATACCAATCAGAAAAGGAATCGGCTCCTAGGCCCTCTAAATTCACTGTACAACTGGTTCAAAGAACGGTAAAAAATACTCCCCTTATAATAGACAATTTAGAAAAGTCAACACAGTCATAAGCACCAAAGTCTGAAAGTCCCCATGAAGAATCTAAATCAGTCCTAAAACAAGTTGTTCCCTAGTCACTGTGAACATTTAACTGGGGGCCAAAGCCTTTCCAGTTGTTCATCCAGATGTCAATGCTTGACTCCACCACAGTCTCTCCCACCTTTTGTCCAACTGGATGGGCTACTTTGGATTAAACCCAAATAGACAGTTTTGATCTTAGAAGATACAGTATGTTCCTTGTCCTCTATCTCCCCTAGGGTATTGTTAATTATCAGGATATATACATATTTGTAAATAAAACTTATTTTTTCATCCTAAAACAAAATGGCTTCCTCCTAGTTTTGGGGGTTAGGGAATAAATGTGAGTGATAGCAATAGCTCTGGAAGCAGTTCCTTCAACCTTCAGGTAAAGTTTCAAATGACAAAAGGGAGGAGTAGGATGGTAGAATCACAAGGTACCTCATTTTTTATCTTTTCTTCCCCACCTCTCCATAGGTTGCATGAAATTCACATGCTTGACACATTTCCACGGGTGTATTCAGATTTCAGGTTAGAGCATAACAGGTGGGCTTTGGGTTATATACAGTGGAACAGTGATAACTCTAACCCTCTCTCACTCAAGAAAGCACATCAGATTATCATGAAAGGACATTATTGTTGAGATAATTTTGAATCCATTCTAATTTATTTTTAAAAATTATTCTAAAACTTGGATTTGAATTCTTGCTCTATTACTAAATACCCCCTGTGGTATTGTCCCCCAGGATTCACTCTTCCCTTCTTCACATTTATTTATTTATTTATTTATTTATTTATTTATTTATTTATTTATTTATTTATTTTAAATATGTCTTTATTGATTTCAGAGAGAGGAAAAGAGAGGGAGAGAGAGAGATAGAAACATCAATGATGAAAGTCATTGAGCAGCTGCCTCCTGCATACCCCCGACTGGGGATCGAGCCCGCAACCCAGGCATGTGCCCTGACCAGGAATCAAACCCTGATCGCCTGGATCCTAGGTTGACGCTCAGCCACTGAGCCTCGCCTGGCTGGGCTTCCTTTATTTTTAAACTGTGCACTTGTTTGCCTAGAATATAGAATATGTATCCTGTCCTCCCTGGCAGCTAGGTGTGCCATATAACTAAGTTCTGACCAAGTGGGTGTAAGGTAAAGCAACTTCCAAGAAGTATTCTTTTTTTTTTTTTTTAATATATCTTTATTGATTTCAGAGAGAGGAAGGGAGAGGGAGACAGAGAGAAATAGAAACATCTATGATGAGAGAGTCATCATTGATTGGCTGCCTCCTGCACACTCCTGACTGGGGATCGAGCCCGAAACCCCGGCATGTGCCCTGATGGAATTGAGTGATCTGGATCCTAGGTTGGTGCTCAACCGCTGAGCCACGCCCAGCTGGGCCAAGAAGTATTCTTAAAGGGCAGGGCCACATTCATTGTTGTCCCACCTGTCTTCCTGGTGACTAGAATGTAGATATGATGGTTGGAACTAAGCATCTGCCTTGGACCATCAGGAGGAAGTAATATATTGAAGATAGCAGAGCCAAAAATAGAAAGAACCCAGATCAGTTTTGAGAATAGAGCTGTTTACGGGTTTGGATAGCTTACTCTGCAGACTTTGTTTATCTGGGGTGTGGGGTAGAGATAAAATTGTATCCGTTTTAACCAATGTTGAGTTTTCTGTCACCACCAAACCCATTCCTGATGGATTTACTTAATCTTTCAACATTGCTGAAAGGATTAAAGGAGATAATGAATACAAAGAGTTTAGCAGTTTGTCTGGCATGAAGAAAGAAGGCAATAATTTTTTTCCAAAGTCATGAAACAGGCTATTGGAACTTGCTTGGTTCTGAGAACTTTGAAAGGGGTGGAAGGACCAGAGAACTAGTTCCCAGTTTGGTCAAATTGACTAATTTTACTACTTTGAAGTTAACAGTAATCAGAATGATTTTGATTGCTTCTAAATTTTATGAACTTTTAGATAAAATCTTTCTGAAACTTGGTTTCCTCATATTTAAAAATGAGAATATTTAAACTTACTTCATAGGCTTTGCAGAATTAAACAAAATGGTGCTATATACTAGATATGCCTAAGTGCTTAGTAAATCACTATAGTTATTACCCAGGGGTGATGGTTAATTTTATGTGTGAACTTGGCTGGGCCGTGATGCCCAGATATTTGGTCAAACATTATTCTAAATGTTTTTGTGAGGGTGTTTTTGAATCAGGTTAACACTTAAATCAGTGGACTATCAGTAGAGCAGATAATTCTCTATAATTTGCATGGACCTCATCCAATCGGATGAAGGCCTTAACAGAAAAAGACTGATCCCCCCAGAGCAAGAGAGGTTCTGCCAGCAGAGAGCCTTTGGACTCAAACTGCAACCGTTCTTTGAGTTTCTAGCATGTCTACCCCATCAGATTTTGGACTCACCAAGCCTCCATAATTGTATGAGCCCATTTCTTAAAATAAATCTCTCAGTCCCTAGCTGGTTTTGCTCAATGGTTGGAATGTCAGCCCATGACTGAAGGGTCCCAGGTTCAATTCGGGCCAAGGGCATGTACCTCAGTTGCAGGCTCGATCCCCCGTCTGGTTGGGGTGTGCATGGGAGGCAACCAATTGATGTATCTCTTTTACATCTCTCTCTCTCTCTCTCTCACATACATTCCCCCTCCC